TATATACATATTCATATCCACACACACATATTTATATATATATATATTGATGAATATATGTATCATACATTGAATATAAATATGCATATATATATAAATATATATATATATATATATATATATATATATGTATATACATGAGTGCACACAATAGTATATGTATATATACATATATCTGTATATAAACACATGTGAATTAGTTTCTGTGTTGAGGTTGGCTGGTTGCACCTTGTTGACCATATCAATTTTAACGTCGTGGAAGAAGTGTTTCCATGTACTCATTCATAGCATTTTCTCTTTCCTGGACAGCACTCAAATCACATGCAACGCAGGCCGATATGTACAACTATATCGGCTCCTCCTATGGCAAGGTATGATGTACCTCGTGGAGACAATAAAAAACTCTTTTGAAAACTTTCGCTGCCCTTTAATTGTTTTGAGTAGGATATATGTGGCAAGTCTTCAACGATTTATCTCAGTTCTCTGCGCTCAAGGGTCTATGTCCAACACAAACTAAATATAGTTAATGGATGAGAGCCGGCCCCTATGGGAAATGTACACAGTGTCAAATTTGAAAGACGCTGGACCGGACGGGGATTCCAATGGTGTCGTGTATATGCGCATTCATCACAACATTGGTGATGGCATATCTCTTATTGCTCTGGTTCTTAAAATTTTTGACAAGCCACCGATTGTCAATAAGCGAGCGCCTAAAAGCCTGGTATGTGTACATGTAGTTGCTTAATACATGGATGTGGATTTAAATTTATTTGTGCCATCGTATTGGCGTTGTGCTCTAATCTAAACTCGCCTGCGGGATAGTATCGGTCTTCCCTTCCCACTCTCCGCCGCTTTACGGTCATTGGGCTGCAGTTTTCTCTTCATCCCGATAAATTTGCAAACGATCTCAAATACCCTTGAAAACTATAAAAATAATAATTGCCAGCCCAATATCTGGCCGAAAGTTCCCCCTGTGCTAAATGCCTGCCATACCATCAGAATGATGGTGCAAGGTGTATTCGAAGGTGTCTTATTCACTTTGCTGCCTGGGGACATCGACACAGGTAGGTATCTGCGCACTCGCGTTATACTATGAGTTGTGCACGGGCCTAGCTGATGAACTCCATTGCAGAGCATGCAGATTTTGGTAGAGCTTTAACGTCACAAGCGGCCTGGCCTGGAGTATGAAAATGCTCAATAATCAAATTTTGTGTGCTTAAATTTCCACAACAGTGCTTAAGGTGCCAAACGTTGGGCTGCTTGGGGAAAGACACGTTGCTACTTCATCCAAAGTGGACTTGGAGAAAATCAAGGACATCAAAGAGAAGATAGGTGGGTGTCACTCATGTTAAGTTCCATTTTGGGTTAGCTCGTCAATTTTGACTCGCTGAACCCCCAGTCAGTTAACTTTTCAATGATAGACGACTCTTTACATAACAATTTATACTATCTGCTATACACATTTTTTACATGTATGTCAATCCATGATAGGGGGTACGGTGAACGATGTTCTCATTGCCCTGCTGACGGGTGTACTGCGAAGGTATTTGGTGGCCAATTGTAGCAAAACGGACGGCCAGATTCGTGCGTTATGTCTGATTAACATGCGAGACAAGTCTAAGGTGCGTTAAAACGACGTTATGTTAAGTTATACCAGTCGATAACAATGTATATCGCTGTTAGGATTTGCTTGAAATTTTTCTCAGAAATATTGGAAAATTCGCTCCTCTTTCTTTACAGATGATGACAAAACACATAGAGCTGGAGAACCAATGGAATTTCCTGCCAATTCCTGTGCCTTGCGGTATGTGATGGATCTATGTAACTCCATAAATGGTAGCGCATATTCTCATATAGACGAATATCAATTTTAAAGAACAAGCGATGGAAGTTACGCTTCGACACGAATGACTCAAATCCAAAAAAAAAATCGAGTATCGAAAACTCGAAGTCCCTGATACCACATGCAAGCGCATGCCAATCATCCTTGATACCTTTATAAACTGAAGTCAGAGTAAAAACCTACCTTTACAGGAATGACGGATCCTCTTGATCGATTATACTTCTGTAAAGTGTACTGCGACGATCAAAAGATCTCACCAGCAAATCTTGTGGCGTATAATCTGAATAACGTCGTCGGGTACGTCTGTCTTGAGTACTTTGTTCAATGCATATCTCTTATACTAACTATTGGCACCCCAGAGTTGTCCAATGTGCGTGTCAGCGGTAGGCCTTATTGTACCAGTACATCATGCAATATTTGAAACCGGTAAGTGGCTTACATATTCAATTTGTATTCTCATGATACAAAACAGTAAAATAGTGCCGCCCGATATCTTCTGCGGCATGACATACGACCTCTTCAACAAATGCACCACAGTCTTCAGCAATGGTATGGTAATTTTCAGATTGTCCTCGAACCGCAATCTGCTGACGTGATTTTCTCCGATTTTCTACGTGAAGGGAAAGAGGACCTTGGATATGCCAGTTGTTAATATGAAAATCACCACTTTGACTCCGTCTAATTAAACCTTTTTCATTTTCTTCGCAGTGCCCGGCCCGCAGGGCGACGTAGAAAGTAAGTTCGACAAAGGCATTTTCAGGCTGCACTTCGATTTCGCGTGTGACTTTTTTTTGCAATTGCAGAATAATTGAAGATTATAAGTGGATGAGAGTAGTATGATCTGATAGTGAGACTCAAACTGAAAGGGCAACATTGGGCCCCGCTGCTAGCATGATTTTTCAGTCGGTAGGACATTTGATAGCAAGTACTACCATTGAAGCTTGTCTAGAAGCACGTATACGACATTCAATTGCGTTTTCAATTTATTCTCACGTCATCGTGGGTGCGAATTACAGTGCAAGGCCAGAAGGTGCAGTCGATATCCTTCTACTCAAATTCCTTGTCGGGAACCGTGTTCGGACTAGTGTCATACAACAACGCGGTATGTTCTGTTGATCGAGAGGAAGTGTATTATTTTTTCCATGAAAATCTGAAGAGGGTTGGACTGGGGGGTTTAGCGATCGCGTTCTGCGATGTTAGAGCTGAGAGGCATTTCGATACATATGTTGGTGAAGTATAGTACCAGTTAGGAAATCTCATAGTATGTTCTTCTGTGGCCACAGGTCCAACTATCGGTGGCAGCGGACAAGGCTGTGATTGCCGACCCGCAGGCCTTGGTTGACCATGTGCACGACGAAATCGATGAGCTTCACCGGGCAGTGCAAGGCGATTTCCGGAAGCCCGCACTCGATATGAAGGTTTGTATCTATTGTTTAGACTTATTTGTAGACATTGTGTGGGTGTTGGTGTATGTACGTTTGCGCGTTACTGTCTATGTTCACCATTTTGGCGAGCTCTAGAAAGGGATACGGTGAATTTTTAAATACGTCACCGTAAATCATTTCGGTGTAAAACGATAGCCAAGATTCAAACTAGACGCGTTCAAGCGGATGTAGTTATGATTCTTTAGATGCATCGTTGGCAGCGTGTGGCACATTGCAAATTCAAATCCGCAAATCTTGACTTTGTGCATGTAAGCGTACCAAGGTAAGATGAAATGTTTGTGAGCAATTTCCTAACATCAACATATCATGGTTTGATCATAGAGGACTGGTCTGGACTTAACCGTAACGCTGCTAAGCATTTTGCTCCTGTTTAATCTGGTGAAGGCTGCAATATATGCCCTTCTTTACATGATTGGCATATTTTGAGCGCACTTGAGGGCCACTATGCAAGGAAAGGAAGCGGCCATGACAAGATGGAGGGACGAAGGAAATATATAATCAACAAACGACGCGGCATATATATATATATATATATAATCAATAAACGAATCGCGGAATAAAACTGTAGCATTCAATTTTTGATTAGTTTTTAGTCGTAGCGCTGTCATGTTTGATGGCTTCGAGACCAGCAATCCTGCACTGGGTCCCGATAAGACTGTCGGCGTTTGGTGATGCATCTATACTCTTGTCTAATGCATAAGATTGCCATCATCCTCAATCTACTGTTGTTCGTTCTGTAGCGATCACGTACCCGGTGTGATTATTGAGGTGGCCTCATTGCGCCTTCCGCAAACTTCGCTGCCCTGCGAGATGAGAAAATAAAATACATGTGAACAAAAGCGACCTCAATTGTACACCCATTCGCACGATATGCGCCCACACCAAATAGCTGATACGGTAATCGCTGGAACAGGCTTGTGGCTCTCAAGACATCAATTCAAATAGCTACTGCATATGCGCATATACATAGACTAAAAAATATTCTCATGTACATGCGTTTCGCTACCTCACTGACGATCGTCGTGAGTAGCCAGTGTATATACTATTGTACACACATGTCGAGAAATGATCCATCACAAACAGATGTATGTACAGGAACCAACTTTTTAGTGCATAGCATCAAATTGGTACTACTAAAGTCAATTGTGCCCGGCACAAGCTCCGATTCACGCACTGTCTACGATACAAAGAAAACAAGTGAATATTTCGCATGATCTACACTAAAAGAAAAAACATACATGTCTCGCATGGCGGGATTCTGTAGTAGCTCGTCCATGCCACCGTTGGCCATCACTTGCTGGGCCATTTGCATCAGCGCAGGGTTGTTCATTAGACCGGCAAGGTCTGGCATACCACCTCCTCCAGGCATACCAGGCATACCGGGCATACCGGCGGGTGGCTGAGGGTTGCTCGACCTTGTGTTGACGGCGGCACGTGATGCTTGCTACACACCCGCGCGGAAAAATAAAATTTATTATGATACGAGCAAGTAGTACGCTCAAATTTTAAGCAGATGCCCTGAGATAGCTGTGAACGACCTATTATATTCTCAAATATTCGCGAAGAGGGGCTCAGTGTGGCGTCGTACTAGATCCCATTAACTGGCGGGCGGAAATTTTCAACGACAATATCTCTATATTTTCAGCAACTAAATCTAGCCATATCGAGGAACTTGTCGACGTCAATATTTAAATCTGTATTGCACTCGAACGATTACACTTACATCAGAGGCCTTGTTCTCAGCCTGTTTCAGACCATCCAAATAGACCTTGTTGCCGGGTGCCACCTCAAGACCCTTCTGATACGCCTCGATGGACTTGGAATATTTCTGCTGCTGATAATAACATGCACTGTACGATACCGACACAAAGAAAGTAAGATATATGAGAACACAAAGTGTTTGTATGTTCTCTCTGCCCATCATATTAGAGACTATGCATGTGCCAATGCACGGTGCGAGCGTTCGTTCAAACGAACATTTGAAAATTGAGTATCACGAAGCTCACATACCCCAATCGTCCGTATGCCTTGCTGTATTCAGGATTTTTCTCAATACCCAATAAGCAGTCAGCAGCCGCTGCATCGAGGTCGTTAAGCTTCATATGCGCCGCAGCTCTATTACAGTAGTATACAGCGTTATTTGGATCGATCTGAATGGCTTCTGTGTATTTTTGAACAGCTTTCTCGTACGCAAAGTCCTTGAGGCACTGGTTACCTTCGTCCTTTAGACTTTCGGCTTTAGCCTTCTGGGCGGCGCTGACCTGTCAAAACAGAGCATGACGTGGACAAAAAAATTCCTAAGTATGTAACTTCGCGTCATCAGACAAATCGTGACCAGTGTATTGGTATCATATTCAGTTGTGATATCACAATCAAATACAAGTACATGTTTGCAAGCATATGTGTGTGCGCGAGCTAAAAGTGAACAGGTCACACCTCTTCGAATTCTTCAACGATTGGCCCCTCTGATGGTACAGCCTTCTCGAAGATGCCTTCTAGCGTCAGTGGCGACACATCGTACTTTGCCTCTGCCTCTACATCGTCGCACTCAAAATCATATGCTGACTCCAGACACTGTACGGCAACTGTTTGGGAATGGGAGTGTCAGACAGAGGTGGCAAATGGTGCATGAAAACCTTCCTATGATCACAATAGTATTTAACTATCACATATGCTTTATACAAAAAGTTAAAAATACTGGAACTGAAGATGAATCTTACATATGCGTTTCAAACCGACAACAGGGACGGGTATTTCAATAGTAGAAAAAATCGAAGAAAAATAATAGGTTTCAAAATACTTGTATCAGCCTATATCTAAATCTATAGCTATATTTATATCAATACATACATGCATACTTGTATATATACACATAAATACATACACATACACACAAACACAAACACAAACACAAACACATACACAATATATATATAGTATAGTCATTTACATGTATATGTATATATATAAACATACAAACATACATACATACATACATTTATAGATACACAAAAATACACACACACACACATATATATATATATATATCTAATATATACCCGAAGAAAAATATGTATTGACATATGTACAAACTAAATTATATACACACATACATATACACACATATATTTTTATTGTACATATATACTATATATATATACATATATATATATATATATATATATAGATATACATACATATACATATTTATATATATATATATAAATACATCCATATATAACTGTAGATATATATATATATAGACATGACAATATACATATATATACATTCATACATCTATACATACATACACAGACAAATGCACAGGCACACACAAAGACATACACACACACATATATATATATATATATATATATATATGCGTATGAATGTATCAATACACACACACACAGATATGCATATAACTATATATATATATATTTATACAAAATATATATATATATATATATAAATGAATAATTGCACACAGACATACAGATAAA